AATTATGTTTCGTCATACTGCAGTTTATATCACTGCTCTAGATTGGAAATCCTTTAGCCAGAAGTGTGACACAGTGGAAAATGTTCAACAATGTCACTGAGCTTGACTATAAATAAGAGCTAAGGAATCTGTTCATGCTTAGTGTTTGGATATCATTAAGCCAGCATTCTAAAGCTAACAACACTTTAAAGTTGCAATTGAATATATACTTTCAGTTTCGCTTTCTTATTTTAGTACAATACATATTGGCAAATATTGTGTGCAAGTGAAGCCCTTTAATAAGTGTAGACATCTCTTTTTTTTTTTTCTTCATTTTATTTTATGCTAAATATTACCTCCAACCAGAACAGTGGATCCATCTGGAATATCCTTTACTGCCTCTGTTGGATCTGAGTAAAACTGTGACCCTCTCAGGCTGGAGGTGGAGAAGTAGCAACCACAAGTCTGCAGAAAAGAGAAAGGGATTTTTGTTTTAAGTACATAAACAAGATAGAAGAGCAGCACATTGTGTTAAAAATATGGTGCAAAATGAAACAACCTTATTAGACCTAAAGCATCATCTATACAATTTGATGGCCGTCCAGTAGACAGCCAGTAACTACGTACCATAACAGAGAGACGTTACTACAAATGAGCACAACCTCCAAGCATATAGATGAGAAGTTCAGTGGAAGGATAAACGTGGAAGGAATCAGGGATTATTAGGGAGTTGAAGGTATTGCCAAGAAAATTCTGTTCAAGTGTGTGCAATCAGTCAATGCTTCTGCAGTCACTGCAAGGAAAAATAATGTAATGTCACTGCCTTTATTGTCCCACAATGGGGAAATTCACTCTCTCCATTTAACCCATCCACATGGGGAGCAGTGGGCTGCCATTGTGTGGCGCCCGGGGAGCAGTGTGGGCTTAAGGATTTTGCTCAGGAACCCAGAGTGGAAGCTATGGGGATCAAACCAGGTACTTGCAACCTTCTCATAAGACATGCACATTGCTCTAATTCACTAGGCCAAGACTACTCAGAATATATAGTTATAGTTAGTTAAGCCTCTGATAACGTCAGAAGCATATTACCGAGACTGAGCAGAGAAGAAACTACACAATGGCCACTACCCTAAAGTACAGTTTGAACTTAAGGGAAGGGTGGAGAGACACAGAGTCCAACTACTCTATAGGTAAAGTGTAAAGTTTCTTCCATGAATGTAACTTGTCATCTTTAGGTGTTATCCCACTAAGTTTGATCAACTGTAAATGCATTGTAGCCATGCTGCCCCTGGTTATTTAAAACACATAATGCTCATCTTTTGTTGACAGACTTTGTGTTTTTTTTTGCTTGTTTTGCCCCCCCCCAAGCAGGATTTGGCACAGACAAAGGCATGAACAGCTGAGTTATAATGACAGTATCACTGTGCCTGACTGGTTGGGGAAACTAAACTGACCTTAGACCTATTTGGAATACATGACATATTACTGAGATGTAGATGGAAAAAAAAAAAAAAACAATGGAAAGAAGCCAATGCCTGCCCCCCAATATGATATGCATGGAGGCAGAATTATGCTTTTTAAACAATCCCTGTGCTCACTGAACCTTTGTGAATGTTACATTTTAAATTGAATTACTGGATCAAAATATTTTTTCTAATTTATAATCTATGTAGCGGGTTCGTTTTATTTTGATTTTTTTTTTTTTTTTTTATCTGCACACCTTTTTTAGGTTTTCATTTTACACAACCAAACATCCCCAGGTAAAAAAAAAAAAAAATTAAACAAAAATGTAATCAGGAGCTCATAACTTTTAGATACCACATCAACATAGTAAACAGAGCCCCAGCCGGCTGGGATATACGGAAGAGGATTAGGGTCTCTGAAAAAATTAAAAAAGTTAACTGATTTTTAAATATTATTTCAGTATAATGTCAGAAAAATTCTGACTTTAATCTCAGAATTCTGACTTTTTTCCCCCTCAAAGTTCTGATTTCATACAGGCTAAACTAGCTCTCTTGTTTTAATCACTGTCTGCTCTTCCATTAATGAAAAAGCATCACCAAGGATCTCTGTGGCACGTAAAAAGTCGCCATATTCCATCATTTTTCCACCAATGTGTAACTGGCCCTCTCAAACAACTCGTGAAGCTCAGTGCTCCCACATCTCTTCCTTCATGGTGCCCAGCTACATTAAGATCCAAAATTCTGAGATCAAAGTCAGAATTCTGCAAAAGTCACAATTCTGAGATGAGAGTCACAATGCAGAATTCTGGGATCAAAGTCAGAATTCTGGGATCAAAGTCAGAATTCTGGGATCAAACAGAGATTAAACTCAGAATCTCTCTCTCTCAGAATTCTGAGATCAAAATCAAAATTCTGAGATCAAACTCATAATACTGAGATTAAACTCTCAGAATTCTGAGATCAAAGTCAGAATCTCTCTCTTTCTCTCTCTCAGAATTCTGAGATTAAATTTAGAATCCTGAGATTGAAATCGGAATTTTTTCCCATATTAAACCGAAATAATATTTAAAAATCTGCTAACTTTCCCCCCCCCCCAGTAGCCCTAATCCTCTACTGTAGGAATAGGTTATGGTTTTATTGTAACTTTAATAGCAGGCTTGCGTTTTCAGAAACTCGACTGCAAAATGTGTCGTTTACCACTTTGCATGTTATCTAGTTTATACAGTAGCTAAGAAAACGAGAAGCAGAGATAATCCACGCAAGGTTAAACTGCAGATAAAAACATCGATAACAATCTGCGAGAACTTCCGTGCAGGGACAAAATACGACGGATGTTATCTCGAAGACTCCTGCACGACATAGAAAGATAATCCATGACATCTTTTACTTGCACTATACATTAAGGTCAGAGTTCATTTACAGACCTTATTGAGCTGGAGGCCGGCCCAGTTTAATCTGGCTCTGCGGTCACCTCCGAGGTTTCTGAAGAGGATACTTTCTGCTCTGCAAAATGCTTTTAGTGTCGCCATCTTTAGGTTTTACACACAGGGTCAGAGATGTGGAGCGCTATAAGGACGCTGAATGTGACTAAAAGCCCGACGACATGAGTCTGCGTCCCTGAACGCACCTCACAAAGGGGGGCGTTTTAAAGGCATGACCCTTTCATTTAATGTTAACCCTTACACCACCGGTCTGCTGCTGCTTTGCAAATAATAAACCCGACAGTAATTTACCTTAAACCTAGTTTCATTAGACAGTTTGAATAAATATATGCCATAGTAAACATGTGTTTATTAACTTTGTTTTGGATTCGCCGCTTATGCACACTAAAAGTCAAAAATTAGAAGAACAAACCCTTTATGGTTGTACTCAATGCTGCCACCATGTTGTGTGTGGCACTGTTGTGGAAATACAAGAGTTTCCATTAGCAGTTGTGTGGTTGTGTGTGATTGCGTTCATGATCCAAGTGAATGCAATTAAAAAGAGAGAAACACAATCAAAGATTGTTTCACAGAAGTTAATTTAAAAGCCTTTTCCAAACTTCAATGAGTCCAAACTTTCTCTGCAGTTCCCATATTAAGAAACTAAATAAGAAGTCTAATTTAATTCAGTTTCGATTTAAATATTTACAAAATCATTTCACGCACACAAGAAGAGGCAAAAATAAATACATAATATCCGTTAAGGGACAAACAATGCCTATTTAATTTCCACAGAGTTGACAAACATACGAATTTTCATATAAAATAAAATAAAAAACTTGCATCAGACCCATTTTTCCTATAATATTCAATCACTATTCAGAATTGCATTCTCCCACTTCATGCACTTACTTCGTTTTATTGTTTATATAGATGGCTGTCTTTTTCTGTGTACAATCTTTCCTAACATATTGTATTTATTTTATCGGATTCCTTTAATATCTGTACATAAATTAAATTTCACTTACCTTAAATGCTTATTTAGCCTTTATTTTTATTTCATTTGTCTTATTAGAGACAAATGGAAGTCTTTAATTTTTTTATACAAATAGTTGAACTAAATAAAGTGGAGTCAAATTTGGGTATTGCAAACAAATAATATTGCATTTTTGTTGAGAATTTTAAAATGACAAGAACAACTGTTGAAGAGCATTGACTGGGAGATGAGTGAAACAAAATCTACCCAAACCTGTAAGAAACAATTAACATATTTACATCCCAAGCTTCATCTTTAGAAGTCCATCTGATTGTGTGGCAATCCAAAGTTTTTTCTCCCTAGCAATGATGATATCTGCCTGCTTTTGTCTATTTTGGCAAATGTTCATGCACAAGAAAAGAATTTGATGTCTGCTGAGGAAGGATTCAAGAATGGATACAATTAATTTTGCCTTTAAAGCAGATTGACATTTCAAAGAAAAATATAAAAAAATTAAATTTTCCTCTCGGAAATGACACAAAAAATTAAAACGTTCTTAAAATGAATAACGTAACTTGCAACATATTATTTTATCCGTTATGTTTTTAACTTGTAATTTTATTTAATTGCAAGAAGAAAAAACAGAAAGCCAGTAACATATAGCAAAGAAAAGACTTGGAAGGGCCATTTTTTAGAGCTGTCAAAATTAATTTAATAAATGAATATACCATGTACTTGCTGGAAAAAAATACACCAAAAATTAAAAAGAAATTTATATCATTTACTCTTTTTTTAACAAGGGAGACCTACTTTAATATTTAAATTTAAGGTGAGTTACAGATCTCTTTTCAAAAGCAGTTGGACTACTGTGCATTTCACATTTAAATTTATTTTTTAAAAGCTCATTGTTGAGTTAGAAAATCTTTTTAAAAACAAAACCCTTTGCGCAGTTTTAATATGCTATATTTCAAAGCTTCTGCCCCCTCAGGGTGTTAAACCTGACATTTTGTCCCTTTATGGCAATAGATTTGAACACCACTTACCACTCACAATATGGCGTACTCACTGACGGGAGACCAAAAACGTCGACGTTTCGATGGCGTCGTGGTGACAGTACCCAAAGCGGTTTACGTTCTGCAGTAACCGCCTGCTCACGTGACGCACACTTCACGTAGTCATGGCAGACGACTACAGGCGACAAGATTTTGAGTTGGAAAGGAGAATATTTGAGCTGGACAATAAATGTTCATGTCTCCGAGCTGAAAAGCAAGGTCTCTATTAGGCATCTTGTTCTATTATTTATGAGTTGTAACTGTCCTAAATAGTTTATTTATAGAAGAGGAACAATTTTCCTGTGTTGTTTAGCCAAGAAGCTAACCAACGAACGTTAGCTTGCAGCCATAGCAACAACTGTTGTCTTAAACTGCTGTTTGACAACTTATTTATTGTTATTTTGAACTAACCCGCATAGCACCAACTTTATAATAGATATTACTGTTTAAGTCGTGGTGTTTTTCGTATTTACTGTTATTTTGGTTAATGATAAACATTAAATCTTGACTTAAGGTTTTAGTTTTTTATACTAATGACTTTAAATTGGAGTGTGTATGTGAATTGCGTATAGCTGTTCACATGTCCTAATAATAAAACCAAACAAGCACGATCACGGTAGATAAAACGTGCTTGCAAAACATATATCCTTAAATCTAGTTACTATGCTGCCAATGCTAAAAAACACCCCTTTTGAAGAGTGCTGGGTGTCAAGACCCATTCTTAATGTTATGTCTATTCTGTAAATACTAATGTAATTTGATCTTCTTTCTTTCCATAGATGATGACTATTTGCAGAATGCATCTGCTGTGCTAGAGAAATTGAAAGGCTTCTACAGACAAGGAGGAGAAAGCTTTAACATTTCCAAGCTCCTGCAGGATTACACACAGGTTTTTGTTTTTTCACTCACTAACCCATTACTCACTAAATGCTACTAATAAATTGTTGTGAAGCTTAAACTTGATCAAGTACAGATTTGTTAGCTCTTTATCCCAGGTTTCAGGTTTAGCCAGAGCTTTTCTTTGTGGGTTTTAGGATTTCCTCCTCATGCATAATTGAGTTATTATAGGGTGCTCCAGCTGCCTCTTGATTACTTGTTCTCTCTCTAAATTACCATTTGGTATCACATACACCCATACTATATATCCTGTATGTGTTTTTGTTGGCCCTGTAATCATGAGCATGCATTTCAAGGGATAAATGTAAAACATTTGACAAACAGTGAAATGATCAAATTATATCTGACCCTAACCATCTATCCATAGTACGTTTTCTCACACTTGCCAAATGGCAAGACATTTTTCAGTGAGAGTCGATTAAGTTGAACTCTCTTTGGCACCAATAATTGATGTTAGTCCATTGTAATAACAAGGGTTTGGGTTCTGCAATAACAATAATAAAAAAGATTTGAAACACAACAAATAACACGTATTTGATTAGAGAAATTGCTCAACTTCAGAATAATTTTAGGAACCTTCCGGGAGGAGATGGACAATCCTTGATTTTGTGATTTTGTGTTTCATTTTCAAATTATCTGTGTAATTCGAGCAACTGCTATCTTAAAGATTTATTTTTTTTTTAAATCAACTCTTACTTGTATAAATGTATGTAGACATTGCTGGGGGTTTCCCCCAGATAAACGTTGCATCAGTGCAGAGATGCTATTTACTGGGTAAAGGTCCTGTAGGGGTCTAGTTTATTTGAGTAGGTCCGAGTTATAAGTCGCCCATAGATTCATACTTGCCCACACTTAGCACCCACAAATATTTTGAATATAAACAAAACAGCATTAACTGGATGAAGTTGAAAGTATTTCTGTTGGGAAAAGGACATTTTAGCTGCAGCCACCCCTTGTTAGGCTTAGATGGTGCAAAGCGTGTTATGTTTTGCAACTAATCTACAAAAACAGTTGAAGAAAAATTTGAGCATGATTATAAAGGGATTTAAAGAGAAAAGCCATGTTTTTGATACAAAAATCCCTTTTACTTCAGTCTAAATCCTTGTTTGTTTGTTTTTTTGCAGAATCTACATCAAAGGCACATTCACATCAAAAAACACAGATTTTACTTACTTTTTCTAGATAAACAGGAAGAAGTCATTGTGCCGATTTTAATAAAAGAAACTATTAGCCTCACAGAGAAAATTAAAATCACTTCAGATATGTATAAATCTGGTTTAGTAAGGGCGTCTGTCTCAAGCTACTTACAGTTGTTTATCTATTAGCTTCTCAAGGCTTTTAAGTTAATTGAGCTTTTGTTGTAGAATTAGAACATTTATTTCTAATAGAGATTTTTGTTTTTTCTATGCAGGCGATACTTGACATCACTTTTTATGAAGAGAATCAACTGGTAGATCAGGAATTCCCTGAGGACTCCTCGCCGGTTAAGATCCAGCAGCTGCTGCAAGACTTGACTGAGCCAGAAGTTTTAGTGGGCAGACTGACACCTGGACAGGAGGTCAGCATGGTTTTCTTAGAGTTTTTTGGTTGTGTCTTATTCTACTGTCTTCTTCACGCATTCTGAAATGACACAGTCTATATGTGTAAGTGGTGGTCCTTAAAGCCCACTAAAGGTGAAGACACTATCATCTAATAAGAGCGTATTTCCATTGTGATTTAAGGCTGCTTCATTCTTTGATTGATTTTCAGAATCTCTGTAACATTATTTTGTACCTTTGCACCCTGAAACACGAAGCTATTCATGGGTTTTGGTCTTTGATAGGTGCAGTGTGTGTTGGGCACAGAGATGTTTGAGTGCCTCTACTGGAGACGTGGAGCTCTGCTGTACATGTACTGCCACACCCTTCATCAGCGAAAGCAATGGATAAAGAAAAACAAGGACACATTCATAAAGGTACCACACTCTAAATGGAGACTTCCTTTGAAAAGGATTCATACTCTGGGTGCCTTTTTACATTTTGTCACCCTGTACCCACAGAAATCATTGGGTTTTATTTGGGACTTTACTAAATAGACCTGTACAAACTAGGATTAAAGGGACAATTATACATGGCACTTCTACAACTCAAAATGGTGTGCTGTGCATTTGTATTTTCCACATTTAATGCTGATAATTTTTAAACAAAGCCCAGTTCCAGCTATAACATTGATATTAGGTAAACAGTCCATCTTCATGTTATTTAACCATAAACAGCTATATTAAGGCCAGAACAACAAGTTTGTTGACAAGAACAACAAAGACAAGTGTACAGTGGAAATAAATTTAATTGCAACAATTAGTTTATTAGTTTCCCATTGAAATGATGTGTAGTTGTAGCCAACCTTTACCCAGTTTCTTCAAGGAGAGTTTATATCAAACCTTTATTGGTGTATATAAATTGGTTATTAATGTCAAAACTCAAATATTTTTATTAAACTGTTGCAAGACTGATCTGGTCCACCTTTTTAAATTCAAGACCCCATGTTTATTATTTACAGGTGCTCCCATTCAGTCTGTGGATCCATTGCAAAGAAGGGAAAATGAAAGCCAGTCTTTGGTGTTGCTTGTAGAGACATAGCCTAATGGTCGCAACTCTTGGTGCTATCAAATCTTTCTACAAGCTTTGGCCGAGGAGGAGGAGCTGAATACATACCCCCCCCCCCTTCATTTTTTCCTTTGCATAAAAAAAAAAAAAATGGCAACCATGTATATCCGTTCTACTTCTACCCCCTTATTATTATAGTCATCCACTTTGTGCAAGGGCAAACACACAAATTCCAAGTAAAATGCAAAAAAGTTCCTCTCTATGATATAACCAAATCTGGAAAGGTCAAGGAGTAAAATCTCAAGTCCCTTGACTATTTAGTATGTCACTATAACGCTTTTGAGACTTTTCTCGTCATACCATGTTAAACTCAATACATTTTTTGATCCAGTGTATTCAGGAAGGCGTTCGATATTTGATGCGGATGCTACAAGTAAGAAACACAGTGAAGCTCAGCGATGGGGTGGTTCTTCATGAAGGCGCTACAGCAAGCATTTTATCTGAAGGTAAATATGTTCATCTCTGCCTAATAAAAACTTTACTCATGTTGTTTTTTTCTTCCTCACACGTTTACTCCGTTATGTTTTTTGAAAGGCATTTTTTCTGACACTCACCTTCTGACAATGATGTACATTGGAGAGATGTGTTTCTGGGCTGTGAAGTATGAGGACTGCAGCGGTGACTCCACAGAGCACAGAGAAGATCGCCTTCAGTTTCGGGACATCGGTACTCAGATACTGAACAAATACGTGCATGCCTGCGAGGGCCCTTTGCAGGGGCAGGGCTGGAATACAGAAAATGCCAAGGAAATCCTTAGTGTTTTAGAGTGAAATAAACTGCTCCTATGTAAAAGTTACCACCAGGCACAGGTCAGTGTTCAGTTGTGTCAAACCTAATAAATATGGAGCTCCATGAAAGGTGTTGTGTTGTAGAAGGTAAAAGAGGGGAACATGCAAGTTTATTTGAAGAAGAGGTCTGGATTTTCTTACACCCAAAGAATTTGGGTGTGGAGGGGGCCAGGAGCATGTGAATGTGAGTTTAGAAAATACTGCTGGAGGAAAAACGAAGGTGATAAAGAGAAGAAGCTCAGCAATTGTTTCTTTTCTGCTGACTAAGCAGAACTCATCCTGAATAGTGCTTGGAGCAGTTGTTTTGCTCTAAAGATGTTATAATTTTATTATTAATATTCAGAAGGTATTATTTAAATAAAATGACCATCTCTAATTTTAAAGGTTTGTTTCAGATTTAAAGATAATCTGGCAGGATATGTAACATTGCACGTAACATATTATTTATTGTTTTGTTGCAATTTTTTGTGTTTAAGGTGTAGTTGTGGCTAATATGTGTGTATAAAATATACACATAATAGATAAAACAAGTTGTTTCAGAACCAATGACCAATTTTATGTATGTTTAGTTGTGTTCATGCCATTCTTCAGTTTTCCTATATATAATGAAAATAAATTTCCTTCCACTCCACTTGAATAATATCGGCTGTGTAGCTATTAATACAGAGCCTGTTATTTGATGAAGAGAAATCCGTTTTTTATGTCTTTGTTGACAATAAAGATATGATTTGTTTTCAGAAAGCGTTTTTTTCTGTTATATAATTTGTATTGTTTGAAGAAAATTAAAAAAAACATTGCTTGCTTCTTCTATGTGTAAAACTACACTACCCATAATCCTCCATTACTGCCACTCACAAGGAAGTACAAACAGGTAAAGTCTAATAAGTTGTTTGGAAACGTAGGATGAGTTGGAAGCAGCTTGTCATTCGCTTCTACCGTTGAAGCCATGGCTGAGAGACACGGGCAGCTAAGATCTGTGGTTATTCGCAGCTTCAGGCGGTTCAGTGAGCGATATTTTCCAGAGAAAAATGGACAATCCTTGACTTCTGACGTGGAACAAGAAGCAGAGGGATCACACTTTGGGTATTTGGACAGTTTACCAGTAAGTCAAACAAGACAAGCAATGGTAGCTAAAGGGGGAATTTACAAGTAATCGAAAGCTAAAAAGCATTATGTGTATTATTTTTATTTTTCCCTCTCGCATTCAAAGGGTGTATCGACATTTTTAAATAAACGTTTTTGGCATAATATAATTTTACAGAGGCGTAGCCAGAACATTTTAATAAGGGTGGCCAGGCAATAACCAATGTACACTAAAGGGTGGCTGAAAGCAATGGCGTAAATATCGGTAAGCAGAGAATGCAATTGGCCCCGTACGCTATTGTGAATTAGGACGTCTCGTTGCAAATGTAATGTTGCGAACAATCCCTCTTAAGCCCACCTGACATTACTTTGACTGATCGGACTATTTATACCCCAACATAAGGCAGATTTCAACAGGATGACACCAATAGCAAAGCAGTCAGTGGTACTTTTGATTACTGTGTTAATAACTGTGTATAGTTCATTAGACGGTTTGTAAAAAAAAAAAAAAAAAGTATGCTCCTAAAATATGTTTCAAGAACGCAATAAAGATCTTAAAAGAACAATATATTTGAGTATTTCATTTTTTTTACAATACGGCTTGGAGTTAGCAAAAAGTAGTTAATTCAAGTATACTAAAAGTTCACTAACCTCATACTTAAAATCAGGCAGTGCACTTAGAGTTTACTTAACAATAGTATAGTCAAGTGTACTTGACTATACTATTTTTTTTACTTTATTGTTTACTAAAGTATACCTTAAGTATACTTTAGTAAACTTAAAAATGTCCCAATTTAGTTAGAAGAAGTGTTACTTTAGTAATACTTCAAGTACACTTAAAGTGCATTGTAAACTTATACTCAAGTATTCTTAATAGAATTTACTTCAAGTATAATACTTTTTGCTAAGGTAATCCAGAGCGTCGATTAAAAACATAACCATTACGTACAATGTGTTAGCGACGATGGATACCAAAAACAGGTACTTAAGGGGTTTCCAGAAAAGAAAAAGCAAAGAAGAGCTGCTGGAAGAATGGAAAAAACTTCCCAAAATAGGTGGACGTTGCGGCTACAGTGTGTAAAGATTGCGACCAGGAGATGAATGGAGAGAGCGTGGGTGGGGGAGGAAGGCTGTGAAACTAAAGGTAGAGACTCCTTTTGCAGCAGAATATACTAAAATATATGAATGTCTGCTGAAGATGAAAAATGATGAAGTGTGTATTTATAGAGCACATTTTGGGTCGGTTGTTGTCATATTTTCTGTTTTTCCTTTCCTGTTCTATTTACATTGCAGTGTCCCTATAATCTATAAAACTCCCTGCATGAATTATAATTAAGCTATTTATATGCGTAAATCAAGTGGAAAACTATGACGATAGCTGTACTACTCCACTTGTGAAAGCTAAATCTGTTGGGCTATTTTTGGCATCAACACAATTATTCTTATTGCCATATTGCCAGACAGGACACTGTAAAAAAACAAACAAAAAAAAAAACCTCAGGGTCAATCTATACTGTTCCAACATGATCCATATTTTAAAAATAAAGACAAACTATACTTTCTTACAGCCTTTGCTAACAAATAAACGCATATATTTAAAAATCTGTGCTTTCTAGATAAATGGTATAGTGGATAAAATTCCTTCAGTTTAGATTTCTGGGACAAACATCTTTTCCATTGTCATTACTTACATACTTTTATCAATAATCATTCTGCACAAAATTTATATTTATAAGTACTCATACCTGCATAAATTCATTATAAGTCGTTAATAAAATAGTTATTTATTTGTGATTTCACTGAAGACTCCTGGATGACTTGCTGAAACATCATTCTCTTTTTATCATTTTTACTCCATATATAACACAAAATTTAGTTCTGAAAAGAGCATGAATTCTGTACTTATCTTTAATGTTAGTATACTGATGTGAACCAATTAACTACTAAAATGGCAGGGGTGGCCAAGGGGGTGGCCGATGATTGGCTGGGGGTGGCCATGGGCACCCCTGGCCCCCCATCTTGCTCCACCCATGTCAGTAGACTCTTCCTATCTATACCAACCTGTGGTCTATTAAATGTGTAGACCTACTTCTTAAGCCTAAAACTAAGCAAGCTAGTCTGGCATTATGTGAAGATAAGTAAAAGAAAAGGTAATGTAGCTTCTAAACCTGGTATTTTACCAAAAAATGTATAAGCATTTATACATTTTAAGACATAAGGGCTTAAAAATAACATTTCCATTCCTATTTTAAGGAAAAGCTGGCTTGTTTTTCTAGGAGATGAAAAGATCCTTAAATTCCAATAAAACACGTTGACAGTGCTGTGTTTACAACTTCTGATGAATGCATGTGCAGACTAAATCACTGAAAAAATAATGCATCCGCTTTTGGCATTTACTTAATCATATTTAGTTACTTTAACACAATTGTTTTATGTCCTACCCTGCTAAAATGAAACAATTGTGTTAAAGTAACTAAATATGATTTAAAAAAATGCCAAAAACGGTTTTATTACTTTTTACAGTGATGTTGACAAGCCCAAAACACGATTTAATCGTTATGAACCCCTAAATCTAAGAGTTAGTAGTTCTGCTTTATTTGGTGTGTTTGGAAATGGAAAAAAGAGGGATTTATGTTTTCAGGAACAGATTTCATCAAATACATCCACAATTGAAAGGTTCCCGTGTCTCAGTGTGACAGTGTGGTATACAGGTGGTGAAGACACAGGGGATCTGGATTTAGTTTATGCCATCCGTCCGTAAAAGGGACAGACATATTATCACTGATTAAACCAATCTGGGAAATGAACAGTTCATCCCACTTTTTACAGAAAAAAGCTTCACCAACATAATGTCAAAAATAAATAGACCCTTTTTTTCTAAAGCTGTGAAGACCCTGTTTGACCAAAAGTAATTTTTTAATAATAATTTAATAATAAGTTTATATATTCGCAAAACAAGCGTAACTTTATGTAAAAACATGCAATGTTCTCTTTTAAGAATGCCCATATTTGTTAAGCCCAATCAGCACACAGAGGAAGTTATTTCAGCAACTTCCATCTATGATCTTGTTGTTTTGTCCATGGTCAGCATTAGAACGTTGACTCATAACTAATTGAAAAACTTTGAGAGGTTTTTCTCCCCTTTATCTTAGCAGCAAAAGACAAGAGCAAGGTCAGATCAGCCCTGTAAAGGTTTAGGGATAGGGTCAGAGCTTACTTTGGGCATACAGCCACCAGATAACCCTTAATAACACTAACAATCCCAGAGTTCTGCCGGCGTGAAAGAAATCTAAAAACAGTATTTTATGTTTTTTTTTTTTTCTAAAGGTGGACATAAAGTTTCTCATCATGACCTTTCTCTCTCCTGTGGATATCTGTAACCTTGGAGCCACTTGTCGATATTGGAGGGCCATGGTGAGAGATCCGTTACTGTGGAGATACTTCCTGTTGCGAGACATGCCACACTGGTCCTCCATCGATCATCTGACTATGCCCAATTTAGACATGCTGGATGCTCCACTAGTTAGTGAACATGAAAGCTTGGAAGACAGAGAGGAAGGGGAGGAGACAAACAGGGAACTGAAATCCGATTACATGTCAGAGTAGGTGCATTTTCTGATACATCAATGCTAATTTCGGACCATTTACTTCATGTATATTTTGTTTCTAAATGTGTGTTTTGTTTTGCCAGATACCTAAAAGGTTGTCCATCCTGCAGACAGCAGTGGTTGCCCTCCCGGCCAGCATACGAGCTTCTTACCTCTTTTCTTCAGTACCTGGTGCCATCCTCTGAACCTCGCTATGCAATGTTTGGGCCTGGCATGGAGCAGCTTGATGTCTCTTTGGTTAGAAGGCTCATGCATTCCCCAGATCTGTTACCTGTGTCAGGCACTCCTCACAGACAGATAAATGGTGAGCTGATTTCAAACTATTCCTTATTCTAGGTTGATTTATACAAACATAAATCAAGTAAAATTATTTTTCTGCTTCAATTGTGCCAGTCTGGGTCTTGTATTCAAATTACTTTCTGAATTCAAAACTAATCTTACTCTAAATGTGTCTAAACCTTTAAAGTTGTACCCAGGACCATGGACAGCGTTTATACGGCTTCTACATCTTTTTCATTTTTATCACATTGTAACTGCAATTTTAATGTATTTGACTGGGCATTTAACTGGCAGACTAAAACAAAGCTTTTAAATGAAAGAAAAACAAGGTATATACGTTTGTCTAAATGTTTAGGCCTGCTACCTTTTTTGGAAATGATCCTCTATCATAGTGCTAAGTCGTTAAAAGTCTTTTTAGGCAATAATCTGTATTTAGCTCCTTCTGGATTTGTGTTAACGTTCCAGCTTTTGTGTTTTTAAAGAATCATATGCACACAGCATAATGTTGCCAGTTCTGCGTTTCACCCCAGAGTTGTTGCATTCAGATCAATGGTAATTTTTCTTTTAAGTACACATAGCATATTTTATGTAGGCAGCCCAAAAAGTTCATTTCTGACATCAGGAGACCAGAGCACCGTCTTTCATTAGCTTGCTGGATCCCCTCTGTGCCTTTTAGGAAACTTTAAATATCTAATGAGTTTCTTTCAAATCAGATTCTCAAGCTGAGGGTATCTGGAGCTTTTCTTGCATTAGCCTTGGGTGTCTTCGCTGCTTCTATCTGAATAATTATCTGCCTGCTCAGGTTGTCTGGATTAATGAAAAGCAATGTCTACTTTTGCAGGTTTGCCCTTCTCTTTCAGTTTTTTTCAGATTTTCATATCGAACAGTGTTTAATGAGATATTTAAAGCTATATTAGCCTAACAATGCTTTAACCTCTCCACATCCCGGGTCTGTCCGCTGTGTCCCTGGGTCCTTCATGAAATCAAAAATGTTGTCCAACAAACCTCCATGGTCATCATATACCAGCTGTGCTCCTTCTGAAATTGCATCTTGAATATTTATTATCCTTTTTTTTTCTGGTTTGAACTAGTCCATCGCATCATTTGTGTGAGAAAGCATTTACAAAAAAAATTCAAGGTGTCTGAATTTTTCTTTATCCCGTTAAATGTATCCTGATATTTGGCTACCACATGAGGGCAGTATTAGCCACCTTCCTAGTCAGGCGGGTCCTGAAATGGCAAAAAACAAAACATAATGCTGGACATCATTGGTTTTCTAGGTATCGGCTCTGGGATTAGTTACCTGTTTAACAACAAGCACAGATTTAACATCCTAACCCTGTACTCCACCAACAGGTAAGTTCTTTTTATAAAAGAAATCAAATAATTGCATGTGATTACAAGTTTTTTTTTTTTGCTTGAATTGATATTACCATGGCTACGGATATAATTTTTTTGCATTTATGACTGCAGGGCCGAAAGAGAAAAGGCACGACTGCAGCAGGAGAGTATCAACAATAAGCTTTTTGTTTTTGGGGGAACTGATGACTCGGGTTATCCAGTGTATACTCCCGCTCCTCAGGTGCAGATGGTATGCCAAGAGGTGGACGGCTTCATTTATGTTGCCAATGCAGAGCCTGAAAAAGGTGAGAGAAAATGGCAGGGGATGTTTTTTTTTTTCTCCAGCACTGTTTGAAATTGTCACTATGATTTTTGTAATGATGTTGGTTTTAGAATTATCAGTAATAATCATAAGCAAAAACAAAAAAACATTTGATTTCCAGGGGACGGAGCCTCTGAGGTGTCCCAGATTAGGGCTGTGCTGAATTGTGTTGGGGACTCCTTAGCTAAACCTCTGCTGGTGCTTTCCTGCATCTCCCGAGAACCAGAGGAGGTGACAGGTGGGGCTAAATGTCGAACACCCTGCGTTTACATGGCGAGGAGACTTGGCCTTCCTCAACTTTCTAATTGCTGGATGGTAATCGGTTTATAATGGATCAATTACTAGCTTTGATCTCAACCGTCACTATGGTGATCTTTTTCAAATTTTTCTTTTTCTTTGCAGGTCCAGGATGCAGTCGCAGAATCCTTATCAGGTGTTTTAGATGGAATCGCCTGGCTGCTAAAATCTTCTGGCGTTAAGATTTAAATTCTAATACTTTCATGAGAAAATGGGCTACTGAACATCTTGCCACTGTATCTTGTTTATATGCACTACTTTATTATTTTTACCTTGTATGCACAGAAAAAGTAGATGTTTTTTTTAAGCGGCGTTAGTGAAGGAATTCCAGCTTTCTCTGGGAAATCTATGAAACTGCTGTGTTTAGCAGTAACTTTAATAAAATGTTTTGTTAACGTTATTTACTATTCAAAACTTTTCATTATAAAGAAAATTTGGTAACATTTGACATCTTGTGCATTTTGCATATGGTCACAATTATATTATGCTGACCACTAGATTTCATAGTTATTGTTCACAAAAAACACTCCTGTGAAGCTCTTAATGGAATCATAGACATGATCCCTTCCAGATATCACCAAACCCCCCACCCCATCACAGAGGAACGAGGGACCTACCAGCTCCAGCCGGTGAACAATACCTCCTTAACGACCAACCCTTAACAATCATAGACAGGTTTCAGGTATTACAGGAGACAATCCCCCCCTTAATGGCAATCCCCCCTTTAACGACCGACCCCTAGAATCATAGACAGGTTCAGATATTACAGGCTAACGATGGAACTAAACGACCCATTCATCGGTTACCATTGCATGTTTCCAAGCAATACAAGGCCTTGTCCATATAAGACTCAAACTCACTGCGGATCCAGACATTTGAATTGAGAAAGCTTAATGGAGAGGTGGCGAAACGTCTTCAAACTTTGAAAACCAAGTGCAGTGGATATTTTTTGAATTTTTATGGAACTCTTAATGGAAATGCTAGAAAAAAAAGCATGCTTCCAAATTAAGATTTTTTTAAACAGCTAATGAATAAAAGTAATTTTTTAAAATGAAAATGAGATGTGTATTTTATGAAGTAGCTTTTGAAATATTGTGTTAGGGTTTTTTGTTAAACACAGTTATTATTTTTACAACATAAGAGCAGGAACAAATTCACCATTCTATTCACTTTTGAATTTTAAATGTTATTCTTGTAGATTTCTTTTATATGCAGTGCCTATAATTAAACACTTTTAATTTCCGTTGAACCATTTTACATTTAGTAAATCTATGTGCGTTTTGACTTTTTTCATAATACATTAACACAAAGTAGCACATTATTGTTTAAGTGGAAGGCAGATTTATTTATTCTTTTCACTTTGATACTATTGGATAAAATCTGGTGACACGTTTGTCTTTAAAAAACAACCAAATTTGTAAATAGAATCAACCTGTGTCTAATTTAACTTCAGTATAAATCCAGCAGCTCTGGGAAGCGTGAAACAAATAGCATAATGACTATGAAACAGAGCAGACAGATCAGAGATGGAGTGGTGGAAAGGATGAAAAGGTGTGACTATAAAATGATATCCCAACTTTAAACATTTCACAAAGCACTATTCAATCTGCACATTATCTGAATGAGAAAGTACTGAGAGGAAACAAGAGCACCAGTAAGGGAAGAAGCCAACAGACCCAGAGGAGCTGCAGAGATCCACAGCTCAGATTGTAAAGTTTGCCAACAGGATAATACCTTGAGTCCACCACAGATCTAAACTCAATGGGTGAGAGGCAAGAGTCTTAAAAACAGGGGGCGGAGTTCACATGAAAGTGCTCTGGCCATTTGAGACAAAAACTGAATGTTTTGCCCATTGGGCAAATTGTTAACTATGGCACAAAATTGACACCCTAAATATATCATTCTGGTCCTAACTCCTGGTGGTAGCAGCACTATGTACCATATGTTCATGTGTTAGACTGGCCTAGACCAAAACAACCAAATCCTTGTGTTGCGCTGAGAGGTGTGGTGTGGAAGGAAAAATTCAGCAAAGTTGGTTGGAGCAAAAACAAAAGGTGATTTATTAGGTCTCCTTCATCAGAGCATAGTTATACTTAGATCAAAATGGCAGCTTTCCCATCAGACTACTTACTACAGCCAGCAATCCACCTATATACTGTTATCCCCGCCTTCTCAAATTACCCTCAGCCAATCAAAGTTCAGCCATCATGACTCCCTCTATAAGACAGCTGGGTTTGAGGTGGGCCTCCTCCTTAGCAAGGTTTCAAGATGGCTTCTAAAAGGAAACACCCAAAAAGGTAACAAACAATTCAAAAACAAAAGGATCATATACACACACACATTCTAGAACCCGAACATTACAGAAAATCTTATTTCTTCCTAACACCATGATAAAAAATGGGATTGTCTGCCAATTAAAATGAATATTTTATTTTAAAACAATATAATTAGACATTATGCACTCGAAATAAAACAATACAGTTGTTTTTTTATTGTAAAAATATAAATTGTCATTCCATTGGCAGTGTCTCATTTACCTGCTTCATTCGAGAAAAAATGCCCCTCCTTTAAGAAAATTACTTTTTATTACAGAATATCTCCCTTCCATTCCATTTGACAATCATACTCTACTTGTGTTGCTCTAACACATTATATCCAACTGAAATACATTGAAGTATTTGTTGTACTGTGTAAAAATGTAAAAGTAAACATATTTAAGACCTCAGAGAAAATGCATGCTTGTTTCCATCTAACTAGCACATCAAATCCCTTAAACTTCTGCATGACTATTTCACTCAGCTCCTTACTAAATATTATGTTCATAAATACAGTTAAAATTCTCTGTTTACTGATGTGTAAAAATTGTGTTTTAATCTTAATGCCATCTATTACTAGAAACCTAAAACCAACACATTTGCATCATTTGGACAGCCACTTTATCAGTGTGTTTAAGATTGTGCTTTTGCATTCAGCTGCTTTACTTTCTTTTTTTTTTTTTTTGCTTCCATAACAGTGCTGTTCAGACACTTTAATGGCTACAATAGGATGATTTCACTAACATGTTCGGTATGACAAGATAATATGCTTCATTGTTGCTCTTTTATTCTGGTCCCCTAGGAAACCTTAAACCCGTCAGCAAATGTTCTTCCATCTACCCAACCTTTCCATCAAAAGGTTCCTCCAATCTCGCTGGTCATTTTTATACACATGTTGGTTCAGAACAGGATCATGATTGCTGCCATTTGGGTCCATTAGGTAAAGTTTAATGGTGAAGAAGCAGAGATTGTTTTGGTTTTTTTCATGTGATATTTTTTAGTAAATAATGAAGAAGTAGGATGGTGACTGAACATCTGTATGTAATTTGTGTGCTTCTAAGAGAGAGACAGGCAGACCCTTTCTACCTCCTGCTCTATGTAAACAGGATGTCTTGTCTTTGGTCCTCATTTCGCAGTTACTTACCCTTCTGGGTTTGTCTGTATATGTGTGGGAGTGCACAGTTTATACTGACTGGATTATCAGCTTGGATGACATTCAAAAAGTTATTCTTAACTGTCGACCTTCTCTTAGGGCAGGCAGGGACTGACACCGATAGCTGCTTTGTATAATAAGTTTGTGATTTTGCACCAATCTGAATTAAAAACTCCTATATTATATATTTTTTTATGTTTGTATATGGATAATTTTAAGGTCTTTATACAGAAATGATTAAACATGACACATGAACACTCCTGAACTGGTGAGACACATTGGTGCCTGTGTTTAGTGGGGGAAGGGCTCCATCCATCTTTTGGACTGTTGAATGAGTACCAGCTGCATACTGTCTTTTTAAGTCATGTGGGGCCTCTATAATTCTAGGAAACATAGAAGAGACCCCAAATGAGTATCTTCGAACAGATCAATTAGATGCAGCACTTCATAAGAAAATCACAGATGTGCAGGATACAAAGTGTTGCAAATACGCATGATAGAGAAAGATATGAGAAAATGCTAAATGTGCAATCAAAGATACATTACTAGCCAGGGCAACTGATCATAGGCATGGATATTGTGATATATGAGGATTTACCCATGCAACTCAAAAATGTAGTGTTTTTTTAAAACTCTATATTAGACTTAAGACAGATTTTAATTGTCATTTTGTTTACACAAGTGTAAAACAAAAAGAAATTTCATTTAATTTTATTCATGAACCAATGTTTAAATAAAAATACTCTTCTACCAGTTTTTTTTTTTTTTTTTTTTTTATATAATTGGTCCTCAGCAAGTTGCAAAGAAACCTGAAGGTTCTTTAACAGGGTTCCTACATTTTGGCACTCTTCCGCCCAATACCTTTCAGCGGTGAATAATAATAGCAGGGTTCCCTGCTCCCATGCCCTTTGAATGGCCATTTGCCTTTGTCCGCTGGCTTGAACCCTTAAAACAAAATTCAATAGGTTTTAAAGGTTTACATATATATCAGAAAGTTAAGGAAAACAATAACTTTGGAGAATAAACATAAGACTTATAGAAATATAGATCCAGTGTTTCTGCTTTTTATATACAGTAAAGCTATTATAGCCAGTGGTGCTATGGTCTATTGCTGCTTTCATTCTGTAAACATATCACAGAACAGAAAACATGCGCTATGAGTGAACATACAAGTCCAGAATTAACAATGGAGTGATTGTTATTAATCTGATGAACTTGGCTGTAAGCAGATCACAGTCTTTCTACAACTTGTGTTTTGTACACCTCCACCCTCTCTGTTCTTCACAGTTTCTCTGGTTAGCCCTTCTTTTCATTAGATTTAAGTCCCTGATTTGTATTCAAAGATAAGAGCCAAGATTAAAGAAGGTTTAGGGAAAAAAACAGCATCATTTGCATGATGCATTCACCGATTAGGCTAAGCGTCCCTCTTAATTGTGTTGTTTTGCACATGGTGGAGCTATCATGCTGATACTCTGTAGATGACATTCATCCAGAGAAATCTTACCAATTCACTTGAATTTCCGTTCCCATTTTACCAGTTGTAGTTCACCCCCTCCACAGCACATATATAACAGATTAGGGACCTGTATAATGATGGATTATGGTTCAGATGAATCATTTTTAAATCTTCACCTATCAGCAGCTAAGGAACAACTGTAAAGTATTCTTTGGTCCATCCTTATTTTCTCTGGGGTTGTTTCTTTCTGTACAGGTGATATCTCCTCCCTTTTCATCTAATC